TATAAAATTTTAATATAAAAGCGTCATAGAAACTTCTAACTACTAAGAGATTCCTCAAGATCACGGGCATTATAATTTGACGTGATGACATACATACCTTCTGGCGGCTGAGCCAATTTACGATTTTGAGGAGACATCATTTCTTTCTTCAACTGCACCAATATATCCTCCATTGTACACTCCCTTTGCCAATTGGCAAGCATGGGGAATAAATTGGGTTCGACCTGGAATTTTTGTCACTCAAAAGATCGTTTATTAAAAAGAAAAAAAAATAAAAAAAAAATAGCAGGCAACTTTATTAAAAAAGAATATTCTTACCATCCCACTTTCAGGATTGACACAGCTCATGTTAATCTTCGTCTGAAACCTCACACTCGGTGGGTTATTTGGATAATCCTTTCCACAGAATAATTTTAACTGATATATGCGCCCTTCGTGTACACTCTGTTAGCAGATTTAATGTAAGAATGGAAATTTTAATTTCATAGGCCTTGTCATATTAAACAAAACTTATCTTTTTATGAATATCCAGTGCTAAATATTTTACCTTCTTGGTGTTTAAAGAGAGAAACAGAGTTTCATAAATAGACCTCGGAACATTTTCACATCAAAGAGTTTCCAGGAAAAAAACATAATTGAGGATCCCTACCTTATAGATCATATCTTCTATTCTTCAAAACAATAATTGTCTAGATGAAGGGAAATAAAAGGAAAGGAAACTGTTTTCACTCGGCAACAGTCAACAACAACAACAACAACATACCCAGTATATTCCCAACAGGTTGGGGTCTGGGGGGTCAGTTGTACGCAGACCTTACCCTTGTAATTATACAAGGAGGCTGTTTCACTCGGCAACAGTAAAGGTGGAATATTACACTAGGCCGAAATGAAGAAAAAAAAAATGAAACAAATGAAAGAAAGTTTATCCACTGACATACTATTCTCCATTAAGCAAGTCATTTCATCTAAATTATAGCACATGATTAACTTGACACCAAAATCCTCACGTTAACCAAATAATAATAATAATAATATCCTAAAAAATGCAAGGCAAACAAGTACCTGGAACATGAGCATATTACTATGAACATGATACAAGTGAAATAAATAAATAAATAAATAAAAGAGACAACTCACATTAGGAGGACCAATGATGGTTCCAGTCCAAGATTGCATGTACACATCATCAGCATCATCCATTCCATAGCTTACTGTACCATCACCTATCCCCTTCTCTCCTCTCTCAAGCTCTTCCAATAAACGAAAATTCCTAGGCACTGAAAGTAAAGCCAATTTCTCATAAACATGCAGCAGCATAACCAGTAATGATATTAGGAAAAGCCATTCATATACAGATCATGTAATCATTAACATAACTATGCAATCACCTCTGATACATCCTATAACATGAGTCCTTCAACTAAAAGCACAACTGGAAACTTACAAAACTGCTTATACAGAAAAATTTCCTAAACAAAAGTAGTTCAACATAATGGTGCTATTGAGACTTTTGGACATGTACGGTAGAATTTTATGTGAAGCATGCCAATCGTTCATAAAAGATCTACACAAGAATATTCGCAAAGAGCGATGACAAATATATTGTTATGTTGTTCGCTACTCTAAATACCACAACACCAAAAACAAAAAATAAACTTCCAAACACATGTTTATCATACTATAAAAAAAAGAAAGGTAAACACGGTAGCATTCTTCAATAATATGACCGATGTGGACATTAGTTCAGTATATCCACAAGATGAGCAACAAAATGTGATTTTTAGTTAACTTCAGAGTTATTATAACTAAGATAGTTAAATGTTACCAAAGGATTAAATTTAAGCCATCAAATATACTAGGCAAAGAATCGTATTCTATCTCTAGTAGAACTTATCATCGCAATTGATACAAGGAAATGTTCATTAAAACATTTTAAGTACATGTATGATGGGACACGAACCAAAACAGGGTGGATAGAAAAAGTCAATGGCGATTGTGAACGATGCAATTACGTTCTGTAAAATATATTTTCATCCTCAGCCACTGAATTCCACCTACTATTTTTCTAATTCAATTTCAATCCAATCAAGTATCAGTTGAAACTATTCGCACAGAACCAATAATGTCAAAAAAATTATTGGATTCTGAACCAAACTTTTTACCCATCAGCAATAAGGGGGACATCTAGTGAAGTTTGCGAACTCAGGGTCTACTTCATAGTGGAACTCCACAAACCAGCTAGCTGTCTAGTACTGTTGTATGCTTGAACTATAATTCAAGGCTACTTCCTTAAAATATATCAAGTGTCTGCATTTCCACAGGGGATAATTATCCATATTGAAACAAGAAACCAATTTCCCTTTACAAGACTTTAGTTCACCTAACCTAAGTTCTTTTATCTTAGAATCTCCCAAAAAAGATCTTCCTGTGCGGTTTTCTCTTCATAATTGTCATATGCATGCATATAACAGAAATTCAGTCCATATTGACCAGATTATAGTCTCGCAATTCTAGTTAGTAATCACCCTCAGTCTTCATTTGAATCAGCAATACGGATATCAAAATTTCACCTTTTGAAACCTTAAACTTGAAGTGGACATAGAGAATCATAAACAAGTCCAAAAAAAGAAACTGATGAATTGTTAGAATCCGTAATAGGAAACAACAGTAATTAATAAAAATTAGCCCTTTCGGTACATAAACCCTAGGGCTTCATATTGAACTGTCCAAAGGAAAGAGAAAAATAAAAGAAGAAATTGAGGCTTGATCTGATTGAAACATGGGTGTCTGGAGCGATTTAAAGCTTACCAACCACCTGCGAAGATCCTTCGGAACCCATTTTCTCGTTACAATAGGGAGGGAGAAGGTAGATAGATGAACTAGAAAATGAGTTATAGAGAGAGAAACGTTGAGGCGAGATTTGATTTACTTGAGAAGAGAGAATTAAGACTCGTAATTTACAAAAAGGCAAGCATTGATGGCAATGGCCAATGGGTGAGTGAAACAACTTTGCACTCCACGTTAAACTAAGGGCGCGTTTGTATACAAATATATATGCTTATAATGAGTTTCTTTTTATTAATCAAAGTTAATTTTAAAAAAAAATAGTATAATTATTTGTTAATGAAATTTAATTTTATATTAAAATAATATTTAAAATAAATTAATTAAAGTTAATTTAATGTAAATGTATGAGAGAGATAATGTGAAGTAATGGTTAGTTAAAATTACATGAGTGGATGAATAGTAAATTAAAGTTAGATGTGATGTGTAAGAATGGTTAGTTAATAATATTTAATTATATTTATAGTATTGAGGATAATGGAGTTATATTAATGTTTAGTTAGATTTTGAGTATGAATTGAGTGTGGATTGAGTATTTTCATATACAAACACACTCTAAAGTATTCGATCCACAAGTGTAAAAAAAATTATATATTACGTGTGTATTTATTAAATATTTATAATAAATTAAATAATGAGCATTTTTTATGGAGACGAGATATCGTCTGGCATAATTGATTTAGGATATATATTTGTTTCTATTTACATTTATTATTATTCCTTTTATGTTTAGTATTTGATTTGTAAAAGAATAATTGTTTATTAGCTTGCTAAGTGGACAAGTTATTATTAGGGTTGTATGAGCCTTATTTAAAGGGCTCATTTTCTTGGATGTGAGATGGATGATTATTGAAATAAAATACATCGTTTGTAATTTAAATATCTTTTATATTCTCTCACTCGTACGCTTCCCTACATCAGTTGGTATCAGAAGTCAACACGATTCACGATGCTGCCCGAAGATGTTGCAAACGACAAGCATGCCGCCGCCATCTACAACCTAAGCCGCCAAGCCGAGGGGTTTGGCCGCCGGCTCGAGAGGATGGGTCTTCGGATTACAGATCTGCCCGCGGAGATCGGAGACATATGTGTAACTCTCCATACCATGGTTCAAGACGAGCAAACAAATCACGACTTCGCCGGTCGGGGCAGTCGCGGGGGTTTCGGAAGTGGGCTTGGCAGATGAGGCTTTGGCGGGGATCCCCGCCAACAGTCCCCACCACCTCTGTACGGCACAGAAGAGGGAAAAAGTACCTGGTCCGACATCAACCCGTTCGGTGGTCGTCCAGCCCGGCAGGAGGCTGATGAGTTCGGCGATGGACACTATCACGAGCAGCGGCGACCAAATGTGGATTTATAGGACGTTAGGGGTCGCACGGCGCATCGCAAGGCAGAGGGTTACGGAGACTACCAGGGTCGTGATGCGCGACGTTGGGATTCGCCAACTTCAGGGATTGTGAGGTGCAACACGAAGATGACGGATTCAACGAGTTGGTGGCCGCGATTTGCGTCAAGTCGATGTGGGTTTCGGGAAGACGAGGGTGTCGATTGGGACGGCATTTGGCAGCGCGGNTCTGCCTGCCTTGGCAATAATGTTGGATCCAAGATGATTACATGGGGGCACCATATAATTAACAACAAAAATATTTTTTTTTTCTAAATATATATATATATATATATATATATATATGCATCTTTTTCCAAAATTTTGTTAGGGCCTGTGACCCCGACAAATGAATGTAAATCCGCCAGTGCTTGGGCGGCGATATTTGACAATAAGTCCAATCCTTTACTAGAGCTTGGGAGGGCCCATACAATACAATTGGGGGGAATCCGAAAGAGAGATTTACATGGTTGTCAGGCTTTGATAATTTACCCGGTGACATGGCTTTCAGGCATTATTTGGCAATGAACAAATTAGGAGAAACAAAAGTTTAACTATCAGTGTCAAGTGAATGGTCACTAGATGGATGATATTTTCTGACTGCCACTGCAACTCCAAGACAGTAAATCGACAATGGGATCGTAATATTTTTCCACAATAGCTCAACTTTAATGGATTTATTTCACTGTAGTTGAGCATGTGTATGGTCTCGCCGATTGAAGACGAGATTGTACCAGATTCAAGGGTGAATCCTTTTCTACAGGGGGAGAATGATGGAGACGAGATATTGTCTAACGTCATTGATTAAGGATATATATTAATTTTTATTTATCTTTATTATTATTCTTTTTATGTTTAGTATATCATGGTAAGAGAATAATTATTTATTAATTTGCTTAGTGGACAAGTTATTATTAGGGTTGCAGGAGTCTTATTTAAAGGACTTCTTTTCTTGGATGTGAGACGGTTGATTATTGAAATAAAATACAGCATTTGAGATTGAAAACTCTTTTATCTTCTCCCACTCGTAAGCTTCCCCACGTCTATTTTACATTTGATAAAATTACTAAAAATGACAGATATAAATATAAAAATTTATTACTTCCATATTAATTTTTATATGAATTGCAATATATAATTATTGCAATCTTAGTTGATTATGGCCAATTGATTGGATAAAATAATATTGAAATTATTATAGCGATTGTTTACGAAATTTTAAAGGTTTCGCTATATATAAAAAATAATTAATTAATTTTAATAAAAAAACTTTCTTAATGAGTAAAAAAAAAAATAGTGATTTTAAATAAAATGTTTGAAAAAAACTTTTAGCATAGAATATCATTTAATGTAATTTTATAATTTATTAGTAGTAGCCATTATATATATACTTGATTAATGCAAAAGTAACGAAAAATTGATGAAAAGTATAAAGAGTTTTATTAAAAGTGTTGCATACAATATATATATATATATATAGAGAGAGAGAGAGAGATAAATGAATCACTTAAATAAATAAATAAAATTAAATTTAATGTATTGATCATATAGGCTTATGTTTTGGGAATTCATATCAATGACAACAAATACACATTTAGAAAAATTAGAAATTTTTTATCCGTCGGATTGTGTTGGGCCATGTTAGTGGTTTTATATAACATATATATAAATATATATAGGACTAACCGTTATGTAGCGGAAGCAAAAACTTGCCCGTATCTTTTATCTGACGGCTACTAGAGTCGTCGGTATCCTCCACGCTCTAAAACCTGAGCCGCCTTTCGGCTCAACAAGATAAAAGCACTAAAGATTATGTATATTTCTCTAACTTCTTTTTTTATCTCGTATTGTCCACTTTTCAAGATGCACAAAGCATCATATTTATAGTTGTCTTCATACAACTATATACTAAATGAAGTCTTTAATCTCCACTTCATAACTCCATATATAATGAAAGTGAGTAACAACTCCACCATTAAGTGGATGTTATAAATCAAATGATGCATGTAACATCAATTACAAACAATATTCCTACTCAACCACTTAAGCTGAGACTATAATATAAAAATCTTAATTAGCAAATCTCTTGCCTCATACGAGTAATAGAACGTGCAACCAAAAGCAATAATAACAACATTATATTACGTCACCATCTAACTAACATAACATTTTCATACTTACGACGACCTCTAACTGTTCAAGAATCACCAATAGCATACACATTCCCTACACAATGTTGTTATTAGTTTTTGTAACAACCAATGTTTAGGGAAAGTAATAAGTTTTTATTATTTCTTATCTGAGTTGCCGAACTGAACGGTCAGTTCGATCGATTTCTTTCGTTCTTCTTTTTGGGATTAACCGAAAGATCCTTATGAATAGGGCCTCTCGTCTATTTATACTAGTTGTACTACAGTCTACTGTGCATGTGTGTAGTATAGGATCTTTTCTATTTTCAGAAGTGAGATCTACATTTAATAACTAATTAATGATTAGGCTCGAATCTCCACGGGAATCTGGGCTCAAGGGTCTTGACGCGTGTCTCGACACCCCGGCGGTTGGTAGTCATTTCTGTCATTAATACCCACTCGTGAGCCGACTTCGTGTTCGCCTCTATTCGTGCAGAGCCGTGTGGGTTGTTGATCCTCCAGTCCGGTAGTACGTGGAGACCGATCTTAATTAGTCATGTCTACTTGAATCGCGTGTACGTGTCTCATTTTCAGTGGTTGACGACTGTCATTCCCTAAGTTAACTTAGTACTAAGAGTGTTAATATTCACCGCACCCACTTTTACTATTTACCGCACCCTTAAAATACTATTTTGCCCTTATTAAAAAATAATAATAAAAAATTCAATTTTTAAATTTTTTTTTAAATGTGGCCAAAAAATATATTACCTTATAAATTGATAAATGTGGCCAATTTTATATGAATGTGTTATAACACAAAATTCGAAAAAAAAATCATAAAATTCGAACAAAATTAAAAAAAAAAAAAAAA